TGCTTTTTGTTACTGGATGTTAAATGGTGTGTTTTTATCTATTCATGATGAAACATGAAATAGGTGCTAGCACGGAACAAACTAGGATAGTTGAATGGCTAACCAAAATACACTGGAAACTCCAGGGCTGGAAGTGTGAGCGATCACTCAACTCATTACAGTATGGCCATATCATACATGCCTGCATAACACTATCCCTGTAACCCCTAACCCCCCTGACCAACGCAGTACCTCTGTAGTCCGAATGGTTGCTAAAACTACACAGTGAAAATATTACTGATTCTACTTTATCAGTCAGTGAATATCAATAATCTAGCCACAGGGTTTGCAAGCCAGTGACTTCTGTGCCGGTCCCAAGCCCAGATAAATAGAGAGGGTTGCATCAGGAAGGGCATCCGGCGTATCAATCCATAAAATTACTGATGTTTTACATGTATGCATGACTTAGCATTCCCTGTAGGCAAACGAGTTGTTGCACTGATAGGGATCACAGATTATGGTGAAACATCTCTGATAGACTGAGGCTAAGCACTCGTCCTTCTCAAGTTCTAAAAAACAATGCAAGTTCTTAGTTTAGCATGTTGGACACTAAATGACTATTTAAAAATTTCATGAGTGCCTTCAAGCCAATATTGCATTTTGCAGTAGTTTTCTTGACTTCGAAGGGGTTAGACCAGCCGCTGTATTTATTAACAGTTTTTTTTTTACTATATTGATATATAACATGTATAATACATATAACATTTGTTTACAACAGCATCGATGAGTTAATGCAAATTTGTGAATGTTTTTTTTTTCTGCCAATGTCCATCAGAAAGGCCAATGAGTGTAAACAGAGCAGAGAATGTAAGTGACAAGATTCGGTAAGGAATTCACTTATCCATTAAACTTAACAAATGCAAGTGTTTTACCATCTTGGAACCATTGTTAACAGTGAACAATCACAAAGGTTGTTGGAAAGCTCCTTTAGTGTGGCATCTTTTGACTACCCCCGCCTCACTCAGGACTCTGGTCTGTGAGTGGCAGTTACTAAAACCCATGTAAACTCGTCACCCCCTCAGCTTTTGATGGCAGTTGAAATGGAACTACTGGGACAAATAACTGCAATTGCCAGGGGTCATTACGTGCTTTGCTTCTGCATGCCTTAGCTTGGAAACAATGGTAAAGCCAAACTCAGCTAAACCTGCAAACATACACAGTGACACACATCATCATCACTTCAGCAGTATCCAACAAGGTGGTAATGAAGGCTCATACGATTCGCTGTGGTGACCCCTAACAGGAACAGCCAAAAAAAGAAGAAGAAGAAGAGGTAATGAAAGCTCATCTCCTCCGTTGATAATTCAATCAATGCTCTAACATGGTTGTCTACACCGAGTTTCTATACTTTGGTAGATGAACAAATGTAAATAGAAGAACTAATGCTAACTGTCTCACTAGCTTACATGCTGCTTTGTTTACAATTCTGTTTACCGGTGCAGGTATTTGACCTCACTAATGTGATGAAGTCAAATTTGACGTAACAGAGGGGAACCAAGCCCAT